AATGCAGGAGCTTCAGTTTTGCAACATGGGCTTTAGCCAGATATGAGGAATGGTAATGGAAGGGGCAGGAGTTCTAGTGAAAAGGGCATTCAGGAATGAGGAGAGCTGGGGAAAACTGCATCTTGCAGAAGTCGTGGGAGCAAGACATTGCTCCTACCCTCACTGTCTCCACCCAGATGCCCAGCCATCCCAACCCTGGCCCTCCTACCTGCTGGTTATGGCATTAGGACACTTATCAAGCTGGGTGAGGTCGTAAATCTGTGCTGCTCGGCTCTCCTAGCTGCTGGGCCACAGAATCAGGGGATGATACTAAGGCAAAGAAAGGCAAGACTGAGGCCAGGTCTTTAGGCTGGTCTACACGTGAGGGGAAGAAATGCAACTAAGCCACGAGGTGGCAGCAAAGTCCAACAGGAACTGGAGCCCAGGTGGTGAGGAATGGACTTCATTCTTGTTTCTCAAAGAAATGCCCCTTCTGTCCCCTTTTGGGGTGAAAATGAGCCCAGGCCTGGTCCAAGTCCACTGCACTGCCTATCCGACAGGCTCACGTGGCCGTTTCTTCCCTGAACCCTAAGGCTTTTCTCCTCTTTCTCTTCTTTCGCAGCCAGGAGGAAGGCCCAAGGCGATTCTGAAAGGAAAGCATTCCTGAGGACCCTCCAGGCCTTCTGCAGGTCAGGCCTATAGGAAGGCAGACTGGCCTGGGTGAAAAAACAATGTGAATGTTTGTTTGGGGATACAGAGTCCACAGGGGTGAGAGCTCAGCTTCTCTTCCATCAAGGGCACAGAAATCTTGGGCTTTCACCCTGACCTACCCTCGTTGTCAGTAGCCTCTCCTTTTACTCAGGACATAGAATTACAGAAACCTGACTCCTGCAAAGTGTGATTTCAGGAGGTAACAACACTCTTTCCCTCTTCCTTCAGTTAAAGATAAGGGACTGAATCCCAGGGCAGAGAGGATTCCAATTTAAGAGTTACATCTGATTTGTCCACTGACAGTGAGAGGAAGGGAAGCAGTTAATTAAGCCTCTGAAATGATAATCCAGAGAAACCTGAATCCATCCCTCTGTGTGCCTGACCTCCACAGAGCCAAAGAGCACCTAGCACCCAGCAGGCCCTTCTTGCTGGGCCGCCTTCACATTGGCAGGGCTCTTTGCCTTCCTGGAATGTGTTCCTTCTTGTTTGCCACTCAGTGCCTGGCCCAAAGCCAAACCTGGGCTGCTCAGAATACCATGCCCCACTCACTTCTCTCACAGGATCTGAAACAAGGCTCTCTCTTCCACTTGGGGAAAGGTCAGGCCCTCATGGCAGCCTCATCCCACTGGTACTGACTTCTCAAATCAGACTCTCCTCCAGTGGCTGGTAGAAAAAGCTCTTAGAGCAGACACAGTTGTGACCCCAGCAAAGCAGAGTGTAGCATATTTATGTCTTACCCTATTGGCAGCCTTCTAAATTGGGTCAGAGTGGGCAAAGTGTCATTGACAAGCTGTTCATTAACTAGGTTTTGTTTTGTTTTTAAATATGTCTTAATTTATTTTAGAGAGAGAGGAAGATAGAGAGAGAGAGAGAGAGAGAGAGAGATATAAATGCAGAGAGAGACACATTGATAGGCTGCCTCCTGCATGCCCCCTACTGGGGGGATTGAGCTTGAAACCAGGGCATGTGTCCTGACCGGGAATGAAACCGTGACCTCCTGGTTCATAGGTCAATGCTCAAGCACTGAGCCACACCAGCTAGGCAACTTC